CCCTAGCATTGCGTTGCAGCTTTTTGACTCTTTTGTCGGTTCAGTTCTCAGCTATTCTAGTGCTGTTTGGGGATTTTCTAAATCAAAGGATATAGAGCGATTACATCTTAAATTCTGTAAATCTTTATTAGGAGTGAAACAAAGTACTGCAGCAATATATAGCGAATTAGGTCGTTATCCATTATTTATTAAACGATATGTGCAAATTATTACATACTGGCTTAAAATAGTTAATAGCGATAATATCATTTTGAAAACTGCTATGTACGCTTCATTTGAATTACATGAAAACAACAATCAATGTAAGGCTTCTAAAGTACATGGAATATTAAATGAGTACGGGTTTTCTGATGTTTGGAACAACCCATTTCAATACGAAGCCAAATATTTTGTTAAACTTTTTAAACAAAGGATGATTGACTGCTTTTTGCAAAAACTTTCTAGCGATATTTCAAACAGTCCATTGTTAAGTAATATATATGTACATTTGCATAACTCATTTGAAATGGCAAACTACCTGAAAATTCTCCATAACAGAACTTATAGAAATTGCATAGCAAGATTAAGATTATCGTCACATAAACTTCGGATTGAAACAGGTAGATATGGTGCTAATAGAATACCCCGAGAGGAACGCATATGTCAGCTTTGCGATAGTAATGAAATAGAAGATGAATTCCATTTTATGTGTTTGTATTAGTTACTCTAATATACGTTCTCTTTACATTAAGCAATACTACTACAGAAGACCAAGTATGTTCAAATTGATTGAATTATTAAGTACTGAAAAGAAGTCTGAATTAATAGGTTTAGGTAAATATTTGTATTATGCTACAAAACATCGAATTGAACTACTAAATGCTCTGTAAATCAATGTATAAATTTGTCTCGTTGTATTTAAATGTGATATTGTTTATTTCTTGAAATTACTTGATAATGTGTCTAGTATGAAACATTGTTAAATGGAATATTATCACAGCATATAATTAAGTTTAAAATCCATTTTTTATATCTTTAAGAATGTAAACGCTTTATAATAGATAAGCTCACTTTAGTACTAAATGGTGTTAACGTTCATTCTCCAAAAATATGTAAATTGAAAATTTGTGCTACAACTTTGTTCATGTACCATGATATTGTGTTTGATTGTACTATATAAATGTGTGTAATATGACTATGTACTGAATGTATACGTCAATAAATTATCTATCTATCTATCTATCTATAATACAAACATATAAAGACAAGTACATGGTTAACAGAGAATTTTACAAATGATAATATAAATTATTTTTTTTTAACACAGTGAACATAATTGATTTTTTTTAAAGTCGTTCCTTATATTTTATATTTCTCATCATTATTATATTTATCTGTTGTGTTACTTCTATATTAAAACATCTTACAAAGAATATTTTTCTCTTGTTACATATATGCGAGAAATGTTTGTGTTCATTGAATACATTTTTGTAAAACAATTCAAATATGGATCGATTGGAGATCCATTCCATTATGTTTATATTAACTTAAAAAATACTTACAAAAGATAAAAAGAAAACAAAACAGTAAAAATCAGGTTATGATAATGAAATCCGTTTAGGAATAAAGAAGAATTATTGCATATGAAAAGCTTTGTATATAAATTTTTTTAAATTTATAAATACTTTTAACAGAGTCTTAATTCATAAGTGAGATATTTTTGGGCTTACTATTACTCAATTTCTATAACATTCATTTTACAATTTGTACATATTCTTCCATTTCTAGGAATATTTAAATGTCTTCCTTGTTCAATCATTAGATCATGAGATGATCTTGTTAGGGCTATTTTAAATTTACTATTTGGTATTACATCTAAACATCGTTCTACTTTTAATTCTTTCTTATGCCAGTTCTAATTTCAGCATCCCATGATTCAATTATTCTTTGTTTAATAGTTTGTAAAGAGGTCAGCATTTTGGGATAGCCAAATGTTTGACCTACCTATTTCATCGAAAATTTGTTGAACATGCCCGACCCAATTAAGACCATTAAGTTATTACCATTATTAAAACCATCTTTAAGCATTTTGTATATCATTTTAATTAATGTATTGTCATCTGATTTTACTATTCGTATCAAAAATCTAATTAAATTTATTTTAAGTTTTATCATCATAAAATACCTTCCTAGTTCACCATATACATTTGTAATGCAACAAGGTTTGTACTTTTACGGACACGTTATATTTTTCTCATGAATTTATTATGAATCCCTTCTATATCATTTGCATATTTCTGAGCCATAATTCAAAACTGATCCTACAAGACTATAGAGAGTGTTTTGCTATGTGTTTTGTGTTCTATTCCAGTTGCCGTTTTTAAATAGGGTTATTCCTAAGTATTTGAACGAATCCACGAATACAACACTACGTTATTAAAAAAATTTCGTCCTTTTTCGAAAATCATAATTTTTGTTTTAAATGTATTTAATTACTCTTAAATCCCACAGACCGCAGTATGATTGTAAGTTATTCAGTATTGACTGTAATACATGTGTCGTTTCTGCATCGTCGGCAAAAAAGAACAGTAACTATAATTTGACGTCGATGCCGTCTATGTTACTATTTATATTCAAAAGAATGTCATTTACGAAAAATAAGAACAGACTTGAACTGGGATCTCCCTGTTTACCTCTAATGTTTGACGTGAAAAAAAAAAATTCTGATTTATATCTTACGCATGCTTTCACTGTATTGTGCATAGCTGATATAGAACTCACAAATCGGAAGCATATATACATTTTCTGTTATTAGTTTATGAAATAAATGAGATCTCGTAATGTAATCAAAGCATTTTTCGAAATCTATAAAACAACAATATAATTTTTTCTCTAACGAACAAAGTTTTAGCTATAATTGAATGTAAAATATAGTCGCAATCAATTGTTGATTTACCTGTCTGAAAGCCAAATTGATTTTCAATGTTTGTTTATGAATACATATTTCATGAGTGTCGGTAGCCACGAGTGAATATGATAATTTTCATACCACAAGATTAAAATATATCCTTATTAATAGAAAAAAACTTGAATTTTCTGTTGATTATATACATTCTTTTATTTGAAAGAATTTCGCTTAAATTTTGTGTACTGGCAGAATTTAGAGAAAAGTAGTCCGGCAAGACACCGGTGAAAATACGGAAAAACATGTTTCACTGCAGTGAATATACGTATGAAAATTTCATTTCATCAATATTTCAATTATAAGTATATAACAAATAATGATATACAGTTTGGGGCACAGTTGAGTAATAATGAATGATGGAGATATTTATTTCTGTTTTTCTTCTAAAAAATCGTTTAACATGACAAAAGTACTACTCAAAGATCATTTTATTTTGTCTTGTATATGCGCAAAAAATGATACAAAAAAATAATCAATACAATATATTTACATTACAGAAATGTAATACAGTAGTATAGTATAGTAGTATAGTATAATTAGCATTTTAATAAAATATAAATAATAAATATAAAGACAACAGAATTGGTATTCTGATTCAACATTTTTATACAAGCATTATTTACGCAGTCGGTTATTTCTATCAGTTTTCAAATACCTCCCTGTATGCTGTTTCTGTCTCTAAGGATTGAAACCATGCATAATCTAAAACAGTTGATTACTTAAATTGTCATTCTTTACAATATCAAACTTGAAACAAAACTCTGTTTTGTCTTTCTTACAGTTATCTACATGTAGCTTTGGCACTACCGCTCAATAAATCTAATGTTACAATTATAATAGTTATTTTCATGAAATGTTTCATAGAAATTAGAATCTACATGAAATTGTATTCGTCCCCAATATCAACATTGATGCAGTGCATGCATGAGCTGAAATTCGCATTCTTGTAATAAAAAAATACATGTAATTTTCATATGATATCATAGTTTTACACAATTGTTTAAAATTATATCCAAATGAAAAGAATCTTGATGTAAAAATGACAATTCATAATATTTTACAGTTACCCATATGTTTTCAATGTTTGTGCCTAAACAAACATTATTTATTCATAAATAGTATTCTGAGCTAGCCAAAAAAACATACTTCAAAAATCATGGTCTGTAAAATCTTTTGAAGTTGAACAGCGATTTTTGTAAATTTTGAGGGAAAAAAAAAGAAATCTATCATATCATATTTATTCATTACATTTATATTATAACAATATGCGTTCTACTTTTAAACAAGGCTTCGTGTGAGTTTAAAAATCTAGTAAGAAAAGAAAATGATACAAATGTATTTGAAAATGATGCATACAAAGTCTTTTAAAATCTTACCAGTTCCACATTTCCGGTGTTGCCAGCGTTCACAAATGTCACAAGAGACAGCATGCATACGTGATGATACAATTTTGGAGCATTGGACACAGTAATGTTTGGTAGCCATGATTACTAATGATTAAAGATGTCTTTTTTCTTATATTTATACATATAAATTTCATCACCTTATTTTCAAACTGTTGTCAACACGACAAACAAACTTTGGTGTTCCATTAATTTTACTAATTAGCCATGGACTTTAATTAATTGACAATTAAAGTCCGTGTAATTAACGTATTGTAATGACAAGTGTTATCAATTGATAAGGTCTTTTTGATCATCATTTATTTCGCCGCATGTATTTTTAATCAAAGTGGTTAATAACCTAATATGCATAATTAACTTAAAGGTGTGACAATCACATAATTATCAAATTGATTGCTACCAAGCATGTTCAATTAAAGATTGATCCTGATTTAATACATTATTCACATAATGTAAAGAAAAGAAATTTATTTTGTCTGATTAAAAACATTTTACGGTCTGTAACAAAAAAAAATGGTAACTTACACTACATGTACACATGCTTAAATTTTAAGATGGACGAAATCGACCTAAAGTTTTGAGGACGAATAAAATATGTTTGATTTAGCGAGTAGCCTACTCTGCGTTAGCAGCTAAGGGCAATAATCCTCACAAATTGAAGAGAACTCTCCATTTGATTAAAGTTAAATTGTTATTTACTTCACAATGAGTATACAAGCTCTTTGGATTGTAAGAAATCGCCCAGTAAGCAAAACAAACGAAGAAGATGTTGTTTTATTCTCTAGGTAACATAGCAGTGGAGCATGTGTTATATATTGTCAGTTGTTTGAAACAGGTTGACTCGGCCTTCAATAAACTCGCCCTTTTAGTCATCCGGCCCCGTTAGACTTATTTATCCTGGTTATACCGTTTATTGCAATTCTAAATTTCATCAACACTGTATCAATCATAATAAATCGTAAAGTGAGTCTGTAAGTGACTATTGTCCTAAGCTGGGACATACGATAAGAAAGCGCGAGTCGCTTGTCCCCTTATTGTATGTCCCAGTCCTAAGTAATCATTCTTAAAGTTACTTCTGAAACAATAAACTGACAAACAAAGCATCCTACAGGTAAAGGTAACTTGTGTGTTGGGCTGTGTTTATTTACCCTCGCCGCCTTTTGAAGGAACATATGCTGGATTTATTATCGTCAAATCTACACTTTATTAATAATTATCTGCATATATCGGTAAGTGAGTAGGCCTACCATATTTCCTAACCCAAATCAGAAACTGGTTACAAAGGTAACAAACTGTTTACTATAACATGTAGTCAGCAATATTGATTTTTACCCTGTATACATGTACTTTAAACTGCAAATAAACAAATCAGATGTCCAGAAAATTTATTACTTTATGCCAGTAGATTTTTTGGCTAGCGATTCAAGTGTGAAGTCACACTAAAAAACATACCTCTCATTGACAGCCGAAAATGAAATAACAGTTTGCTTGAAAATATTTTGAAAGAAAGTTCATTAAAACTGATCTGAAACTGTTAATTTTATTAATTTCCATGACAATATAAAATTAAAGCTGAAGATACTAGTAGAAACAACATAATCTCATGTTGAAATGGTTTGACAGTTGCCAGTACGCAATGTAAATTTATACAAATACATTAAAGAGGGAAATGTAAGTTAAAGCTTTGCGGATGTATTTGGAATTTTTATGAAAATGGCATTTACTCTATGTAGTATATTGTAGTATTATGTAGTGTGGGTATATATATCAGCAGTCTAGAAGTATAATATTGGTGAGGTTTTTTGAAACTTATTAATCTAAACAACATGGATACATATATCAATTGCAAATCATATCTACCAGAGTATCTTTCATGTTTTAGTTAAATTGAGACTACCATCATTTATTCCACAGTAGCTCTATCTTCTTTTGGACTACATGTACATGTATTTCTCTGTTTGGAATTCTATTAAATATATATTAGTCGCGTCATGACAAAACCAACATAATGGGTTTGCGACCAGCATGGCTCCAGACCAGCCTGCGCATCCGCGCAGTCTGATCAGGATCCATGCTCTTCCCTTACAAACCCTATAACAAGTAGAGAAACTGATAGCATTATGTTGGTTTTGTCGTAACACGGCTCATATATAAACTTTTGATAAATAGTACAGTGGCAGCTCAATTGATGTTGCAATTAAGGTAGGATTTTAATTTTGTTACTTATTTATTTCCAGGTTATATCAAACATATATCAGAAAGTCAAAGGAATTGGATGGTGCCCAATATGTTAAAATTCCTAGCAACCCAGAACTAGCTAAAGCTCTCATGTTTGAGCTGGGGCACACAGCAGATGAATTCTCAAAAGTAAGAAAACAGCACAGATGTCTTTACCTTAGTTTCTTGTTTATTTTGGTTTTGAGACAATAAAAGTTGTTATGGCCACAAATTTGAACCACTCACCCCTCATGCTGTGGGTTCAAATCCCACCATGGAGTTTTTTACTTGAATATGAGGAGCTATCCATGTAGCTTACAGAAGGTCATAGGTTCTACATAGATGCCAGCTTATGCCTAAAATTATGCACAATTGGGCATCTTCGGTCTTCCTCCGCCAGTAAAGCTGGAAACTTGTCATTTACTTGCATAATTAATACTATAATACTTAATCAAGTAGTATATCTGACTTTCAATAAGATAGCTGAATAGTTTTTTTACATGAAAATAAATGGAATACACAAAGTTATGTGCTATACCAATAAAAAATTCCAGATCACAAGTTTATAATAATATTAAATGTAATTTGTTTTGAAAATGTTAAAATCAATACAATGCATTTGACTATGTATATAATGGACTGGTCTTGAATTGAATTTGAAACAGGTCTGTCATGATTTAAAGGGTTTCAATATCTTGAAAAACAAAGGAAAAACAAAACAAGAACAGTTTTTTCTTGCCAAAGTTAATTGAAGTTATACAGACTTGCATGGCTATATACTGGTACTTAGTAGTGACACATGCAGGAAATAATTGCCACATGCTATCAAATGCTTAACTAAATACATGTACAAAACTGTTCATGTATATATATATTTTTTTTTTTTCAAAGTTTGTACAGACTCGTGACAGCTGTGAGAGGATTGAACAGAAACCTGTGTATGAGATCAGCACAAAAGATGGAAAACTTTGGCCGCTAGTTGTTGTAGAACAGGTGAGACCTACTTACAAACATTAAATTAATGTAGTAATTATCTTTGTTCACTTGACTGTGAATTTTATATTCTTTTGAGTTTCAAAAAGATCATACTGGATATAATTATTTTAAATTTTACCATGACAACCCTTTTGCATTACATTCTTTTAAAATGAAATACTTTTAACGCCTTTGTTAAACCTGATATACATGTATAATATTCCTATTATGTTAAACTGATTTAATCATTTACTTAAAAAATGATATACAGTTGTGTTTAGTCTTTCCAATGTAAAATAGGGGAAGATATGTGTTGCAGTCGTAATATATAGCAACATGAGTCTCAGTGAGATGAACTAAAAGTTTTGTACCAAAGGAGAAGTGAATGTTTTAGTTAAATGTAAAATAATATTTCAACATATTTCAGACTGGTTTAGTCTTATGCTGCTTACCATTTGTAAAACAGGGAACAAAAACTAGACCACCTCTTATAGATATGTAAGTACATGTATATCTATGTATTTTCTTCAATTTTGCAGACATACTGAATTGTTATTTAGTTGTTTAGTTTAAACATATTTATTTTAGCTCGATTGCAATACAAGTTTTTGCAACTTATATTAATCACTATCGAGTCCGCTTCCTGGAATTAACCAGTACTGGTGTCTTGTGAGGAAACATGGTTATCACCTGAGTAGGGCTCGAACCCAGTTGTTTATTAATAAAATAAGATATATGATCTAAACATGCAGAAACATAAGGTATAATATGACAATTATGGTAGTTGTAGATCATTATAAACCACTATCCGAATAGTTTCTCATTTTTACTCTTGAAGAAGTCTGAACATGTGATACAAAGTAGAATGTGTGTTTCAAATATACATGTATATGCAATGTCTTATCATGTAAAAGTTACCTTTATATCATTGTGCCTATAATTTTTCAGACCTGGCGTAACACTTGGTTTTACCTTGCTGTGTGCACTGGGAGATTTTTTGAGGAACACACCAATTTCTGATGTAAGTTTTTTTTCTGTAAAAGTTTGTGTTTTGTTAGTTCAAGTTAAAGACGATGTAAATGTGGTATTATTTAGTGGTCCTCTACAAAACTTAAATAAACATGCCCCTGGGGTGTAGATTGGCCCGCCCATTTATCACTCCGTTTATAAAGACTTATCATTATGTAGGGAAATACATTTATGTCTTCATTTTTATGCCCCCACAATGTGGGAGCATATAGCGTTGCACTTGTCCGTCCGTCCGTCAATCCGTCAGTCAGTCAGTCCGTCCGTCCGTACATCCCGAAATCTTGTGAACGCAACTCCTCTTAAACCAGATAGCAGATTTTGCTTAAACTTACAGGGATGATCAACCTTAATGTGTAAATGGTAGTAAAGGAAGGAATTTTCCCTGCGACCAAATTTAACAGAATTATGGCCCTTTGTTGATTTTTTCACTAGATACTATGTAGAAATTTTGTGAACGCAACTCCTCATATACTATGTAGAAATTTTGTGAATGCAACTCCTCTTAAACCGGATGGCAGATTTTGCTTAAACTTACAGGGATGAACAACCTTAATGTGTAGATGGTAGTAAAGGAAGGAATTTTTGCTGCGACCAAATTTAACAGAATTATGGCCCTTTGTTGATTTTTTGACTGTGTAACTATGTGGAAATTTTGTAAACGCAACTCCTCTTAAACCGGATGGCAGATTTTGCTTAAACTTACAGGGATGAACAACCTTAATGTGTAGATGGTAGTAAAGGAAGGAATTTTTGCTGCGACCAAATTTAACAGAATTATGGCCCTTTGTTGATTTTTTCACTATATACTATGTAGAAATTTTGTGAATGCAACTCCTCTTAAACCGGATGGCAGATTTTGCTTAAACTTCCAGGGATGAACAACCTTAATGTGTAGATGGTAGTAAAGGAAGGAATTTTTGCTGCAACCAAATTTAACAGAATTATGGCCCTTTGTTGATTTTTAGATTTCAACTTGTGGCACATGTAGTCCAAAAAATATTTGACCTAGAGTCTTAAGATTGACAGAACAGTGGTGTGTGGGGGCATCCGTGTCCTATGGACACATTTCTAGTTGAAACTAAAATCTCCAGAGCACAGATATTTTGCATGTAGCATTTCCTAGTGAATCTCTACAAAAGTTTAGTATCATAAATTATGCTTCTGGGGTCAAAAATGGCTCTCTCTTAGGCTCCCTTACTTAACACAGACTTGTATAGAAAACATGTCTTTTTTTGGTGTAACTTCAATGCCCAGAGCTTAGTTCTTTAGCATGTAGCATAATCTTGTGTTCTACCAAAGTATTATAAATCTTACCCATTGGATCAAAATTGGCCTTGACCTAGGGGACAACTTTGTGACATTTCCTTGGAATAAATTTAAGGTGAGGACTCTATGACCATCCTGACCCTATTGTTGTCTTTTTTGATTGCTAAACAGATTTTCTTTGAATTGTTGCTTCTCATCATCAACTACAAAACCTCATTTTCACATTAATTTTTAGCTCACCTGTCACAAAGTGACAGGGTGAGCTTTTGTGATCGCTTTTCGTCCGTCGTCCGGCCGTCGTCCGTCGTCCGTAAACTTTTACTTTAAATGACATCTCCTCATAAACCGCTTGGCCAATTTCATCCAAACTTCACAGGAATGTTCCTTTAGTGGTCACCTTTAAAAATTGTTCAAAGAATTTAATTCCATGCAGAACTCTGGTTGCCATGGCAACCGAAAGAAAAAACTTTAAATATCTTCTTTTAAAAAACCCTAAGAGCTAGAGTTTAGATATTTGGCATGAAACATCTTCTAGTGAGTGTCTACCAAGTTTGTTCAAATATAAGCCCTGGGGTCAAAATTGGCCCCGCCCCAGGGGGTCATTGATTTTCCCTATATGCATATAGTAAAAACTTAAAAAATCTTCTTTTAAAGAACTCAAAGAGCTAGAGCTAAGATATTTAGCATTCAAACATGTTCTAATAGGTGTCTACCAAGTTTGTTCAAATAAAAGCCCTGGGGTCAAAATTGGCCCCGTCCCGGGGGTCATTGATTTTCTTTATATGTTGTATAGCAAAAAATCTTAAAATCTTCTTTGAAAAAACCCGAATAGCTAGAGTTTAGATATTAAGCATGAAACATCTTCTAGTGAGTGTCTACAAAGTTTGTTCAAATAAAAGCCCTGGGTCAAAACTGGCCCCGCCCCAGGGGTGCCATTGTTTTTAACTATATTGTATAGTAAAAACTTAAAAAAAAATCTTCTTTTAAAAAGCCCAATGAGCTAGAGCTTAGATGTTTAGCATGAAACATCTTCTTATGGGTGTCTCTACCAAGTTTGTTCAAATAAAAGCCCTGGGGTCAAAATTGGCTCCGCTCCAGGGGGTCATTGATTTTCCCTATAAAAAGCATATAGTAAAAAACTTAAAAAATCTTCTTTTAAAGAACTCAAAGAGCTAGAGCTAAGATATTTAGCATCAAACATGTTCTAATAGGTGTCTACCAAGTTTGTTCAAATAAAACGCCCTGGGGGTCAAAATTGGCCCCGCCCCGTAGGGGGTCATTGATTTTCCTTATATTTGTATAGCAAAAACTTAAAATCTTCTTTGAAAAACCCCAAATAGCTAGAGTATAGATATTAGGCATGAAACATCTTCTAGTGTGTGTCTACAAAGTTTGTTCAAATAAAGCCCTGGGGTCAAAAATTGGCCCTGCCCCGGGGTCATTGATTTTCCATATATATGTGTATAGCAAAAACTTAAAATCTTCTTTGAAAAAACCCATATAGCTAGAGTTTAGATATTTAGCATGAAACATCTTCTAGTGAGTGTCTACAAAATTTGTTCAAATAAAAGCCCTGGGGTCAAAACTGGCCCGCCCCAGGGTGTCATTGTTTTAAACTATATGTGTATAGTAAAAACTTTAAAAAATCTTCTTTTAAAAAGCCCAATGAGCTAGAGCTTAGATGTTTAGCATGAAACATCTTCTTATGGGTGTGTGTGGGGGGGGCGGGGCTATATACAGGTGAGCGACCTCAGGGCCATCATGGCCCTCTGTTTTTACTCTTTTTTTTTTCAGTCAAATAAAAAAAAAAAATTAAATTTTAAACTTCGAAGCAGTTGTTAAAAATTTTCACTCACATAATATATTACTAGGTCCATAACTCTGGCACTTTTATTTTAAAATCACTGCCCCCTTAGAACTGAAAAATTCATTTTAACTTTACAATTTTTACTCTTGATTTTGTTCCAAGAGATTTTCACTCTGAGCATTATCATTTGGGAAATAATTCTCCTTTTTAACTTAAAATATTAAATATTTTGTTTTAAAGGATTACATTAGAAGTAATAAAATACCTACATCATTATCCATGCTAGTTGATTATTTATTTTAAGAAATAGAAAACACCTAATACACTAAGCATATATTGAAATACAACAAAAACTCAGGTTTACATTTACTGAATTTATTCCAATAGTTTGGTAATAGGATGGAATGATTTTGGCCGCAACATGTAAAAATTTTAGTCAGTGGAAGTGAAGCCTATCAGTAATTTTTCCATTAATTACTAGCGACATATAGAGACGATTTTTGAAAACATTGTAAAGCA